CCCTGAATCCACTCATTAGTTGGTTGTAAACACTTGGCAGGGCCAAGCATGACTCATCTACTCTGCTAGTACCAATAATTACACGCATTCCAAAATGACAGGAAATGTTAACGAAATGTTAATGGTAAAAGTGCCCAGGAAAGGACAGGAAATGCCCAAACATTACCACGTGAGCCGGTACTTTCATTTAAAACACCGTGTAAAATTAGAATCTACTTGAAAAATCGAACTGTCTTTATCATAACTATAAATAAAATGGTACCGACTGGTACACTCATACCCAGAAAGTGCAGACTTTTATTGAAACAGTGGTACATGTATGAAAAGAAATTATTAAAAGCTTGCCGCACCTTGCCGCAAAGACTTTTTAAAGGTCGGGGTACAGAAGCGAAATGAGAGAATTTTGTACAATGGCGAGACGCCATTGCAGCCAGACTGGTCTACAACCGCATGTTATTGTACGCTGAAGGAAGTGGTGCCAGACTTACATGTAGTCTGGCTTGCGGTATTAACAGTAATAACGCATGCACACATGTTCCGTGTTGTGTGAAGCGGGATCGGCCATTGCCAGACTTTGTCTGGCACGTGGTGGTGGTATTTATAACAGGGATAATGCGTGGACACATATTCCGTGTGCTGCGTTGTGCTGGGCGGGATCGGAACTATACTTTTGGTAGATCGAGTGGCGGGTAATCTGCAATTGTGCCAAAACAAATAAATCAGGGCTGCATGGAAATCGGGGCGGGAGGTGATAAAAACCAGATTAACTAAATGGCCGGAAAGATTCCTATATGTGGCCATCACTTGACTCTCAATGGGCGCGGCCCCAATTACGAGGCCTATAACTTTATCAACATATCATGACGGTATGTACAATGTACGTGTAGGCCTATGATTGGTGTACAGCAGTGCCTATCATGACTTGTTCGTTCGATTTGCTTGATACCTTTTGATCGGAGGACTATAAAGTTGAATGATGAAAATGAACTTGATCATGTGTATTCTTTCTCTTTCAACATGTTCAATAATTGGTGTTTAACTTGAATAATGAAGTGGAACTTTCTTAAAAATACATATTAATATAAATTAAGAATAATGACATAAATAAAGCAGTCTTTCAACTGAATTTCATATATACAGTAAGAACGTTCGGTGTCTTTCAATTAAAACCGAAGCTCTCAACGAAAAAAAGAAAAGAAATATAATATATCCGGAGCTCAAATCAAATGATGCAAAAAAAGCTATGAAAATAGCCTAGCTATACGTACGTAAAGTGTACATGTAGTACATGTAATGTCACGTATCATAAAAGAGTAATCAAGACACCATTGTGGCACTGCCATGCACCAACGTCTTTTATGTCATTGGAACTCCAGCCCTTTCATCACAACCTCTTTGTCTGGTGCCGCCTTGGCCAGCTACCCAATTTCTTTTGTCAGCGTTAATCTAGGGATTAGTGTAGCTGTATTAAATTTAATAATTTGAAAATTCTTATTTCCATGTAGGCCTTGTAAATGTTCAAAGGATTATGCTCAAAGGATTTGCCTTTGAGAAATGTCTTGCTAAGACCCCCGTCACACTTATTCGGAATCAGCATGAATCAAGCAGAACCAGCTTGAATGAAGAATTTTCAAAATTTGTGCCACATTTGGGAGGGAATATCAAATTGACCAAGCTTTGTAAGAATGCCGTTCGAATAGGCCTACTTAGAATGCGCTTTGAATGATTCTTGCGCATTCCGGGTGTATTAACTCTCAAATGCAGCTCGAACATTGTCGAATGTAGAACATTTAGAATGCCGTTAGAATGCAGTCAGAATATTTAGAATGCACTTCGATTGCAGCCCAAATACCACTCGAAGTGTTGGGACTTGGGAGTTGCATGCCTTTCATGAATTCACCTCGAATGCAGTCAGAACGCTCCCAGAATGGCCACTGAATATGGTTGGAATGTCCAAGAATTCAAACAGAATGCAGCTCGAATATTTAGAATGCACTTCAAAAGGTCCCCGATAGGATATAAAATGCTGCCGAATCTAGCATTTTCATCAGTCTCAGCCTTAGTGGCATGATGTGATGTTGACCAGGCGACTTCTCAATGCAGACTGACGTTCCAGCGGCAGCTGGCCGCGTTTTTATGCAATTCGGCATTGTTCTGAATTACGTTCGGACTCATTCGAGAGCCAATCGGGACATTCCGACTGCATTCGAGCTGCATTTGAGCAGCAATCAAAAGATTCTGACGGCATTTGAAGTGCATTCAGCTGAGCTGAATTCTTTTAATATAGGAATAGATTCTGGCAGCATTCGAGATGCATTCGATATGCATTCGAGGTGCATTCCGGCTCATTCGAGGCGCATTCGGGACATTCTGGCAGGATTTATAGCAGTTGTATAGTGGCTTGGCTTTTCGATTCTCCCTCGAATGCGATCAAAATGTTCCGATTGCTGTTTGAATGCGGTAAGAATATTTAGAATGAAGTCAGAGTGCAGTTAGAATACACTTCGAATGTGGTTCGATATTTCGCCACTTTGATGCACCTCGAAAGTTTTGAGCATGAACAAAACATTCGGGCCTGCCACAAGAATGGGCCCGATTATTTGGAATGCACTCAAATGCAGTCAGAAGTTTCATAATGCACTGCGAACATCCAGGAATAAACAAAGAATTTTCATTCCGACAGCATTCGGGCTCATTCTGCCTCTAGTGTGACTAAAGTCTTAAGACTGAAAATATCCAGTCAGTTTGTTATAACCCTAAAAGGGCCGGGGGGCGGAATCCCCCCCTCAACATTCTCCACGATAGCCTCTAAAAAAAAATTTCACGACCTGAGCTGTTGGGACTTTTTAGCCTCGAGCTTTGCGCATCTTCTGGTACCAAAAACATAAAAATCGGACCAGGGGTTGCGGCGTAGCAAACAAATTTCCGGCGCCAACTGAATTTTTCCGTATACGTCGTGTACACAGAGCAGGATTGCCATTTGTACCTATGAATAATTAATTAGCCATAATTCCAAAACCTTTTGACCAAGAGTCATGAAATTTCTAGGGTACGTTGAGGAAGTGTTGCTCTATGCATGTACTGAATTTTAAAATTTTTCATATCTCGATGGCTGAGATCTTGGGGAGGTGAAATCCGGGGGGGGGGGGGGAGTAATCCGAGTAACTTGGACCCAACTTAGCGCCTTTTTTTAACATTCGGACATGGTCTGGCGATAGTAGGGTCCTAGCTACTTCTTAAAACAATTTTGTCCTGACCCAAAAACCCAACATTGCCCAACAAAAACATCAGATTTCACCCTCAAAACGGCCTACAAATTACTAGATACGCCACCCAAGGTACATACCTGTACATACAAGTACATTGTAGACATCGATTATTAAGATGGTTGTACTGAAGGTTACTTACATTGTACGATCCAGGTGAAAAGTGAAAATTCCCGTTCAATTCCGAGAGCTCCCTCGCGATCGTGAACACGTTAAATTTCCGACTATGTTCATGTTTGAACGACGCGATGCAAGGGCGGATCCAGGGGGGGGGGCCAAAGGGGGCCATGGCCCCCCCCCCCCCCCCCCCCCCCCAAACGAAACCATCGCAAAAAAGGCAGGCAATGAGTACACCACCATCTTTTCCTCAAAAAAACATTGGTTAAAGTGGTCAGAAATTGCCTCAGATCGCACCACAGAGCATCTAGAATCCAAAAAAATTTCGGGGCCCTTAAGCGGGCCCCGAACCCCACGCCGTAATTTTTGGACCCACTTTTTTGGAGGACCAAAATTTTGTTGGGCCCCCCCCCCCAAAAAAAATTGTGTTCTGGATCCGCCCTTGACGCGATGTGGTCATGTCAGTTCTCTTGTCCAACTTGTCTTTCAAAGTGTCTTTTTGACCGCGTACGGGACGAATAATGACAAGAGCATTGACCAAGGCTACGATCATTCAATAACATTGTGGCTGTGATCAGACAGCACAAAAATCAGTGACTCATTACAACTCTGCTATTTTTAAAGAAGTTGAACATTGTGAGCACGAACCAGAAAGAAAAATTAAAGTTACTTCACCTAAAGTAAAAGTAAGACTTGAATTAAAACCAAAAAGTATGATAATAAATATTTTGGAAAACTAAAACTGCATGTACATGTTGTACCGATACATGTACATGTTTTGTACATGTATCGGTACAACATGTACATGTACATGCAGTTTTAGTTTTAGTTTTGTACATGTAACTTCTCATTGAGTTTTGAACCCTTTAGCTCTCAAATACAATACATGTACCGTACATGTACACGTACCTACATGTACTGAGCTAGTACTGAATCACTTAAATCACTGCTTGTGGGAATTTAAAACCTTATTTCCTATGTGTAGTTTCCAAGTTTTTTTAGAAGTCTTATATGCTAGTTTTGACCTTTCTTTGTTTACACTGAGCGATTTGCATAAAGTCTACTTATTTGCATGCGACCTTCAATGCTCTGCACCTTTGACCCAAAGAAGTGATTTGCATACGAAGCGTACTTTCTCAAGGGATTATGGGGCGATTTTGTACATGTGCTCGCTGAAAATTGGAGTAGTACAAGATGCACGTCTGAAACCGTCTTTTACCTAACGTTTACGCTATCGCTAAGACTTGAAAGAATCCCACGATAATGGAGATAAGATTTGTAGTTCTACTTGAAGATCTGTTGTGTTGATTAAATGTTAGTGTCCATCAATCTGATGAATCTCGTGTGGAACTGTGATTACTGTTGACTTGAGGAATTATTGATCACGCCGATCGGGGTCAGTGAACGCGTGAAACAAGTGAAACTGTGAGTAAACTAAAGAATTGATGGCGCCGTTTGAGTTTGAAAGACATGAAACTATCTGTAGACGACTGGCGTACAAGGTGAACATTAACAACATGTACATGTAAACATGTACAAATGAACACATAGCTGTTTTTGAAAAATGTTATGGCTTCCATAAAAAAAAGCCTTTTTTTTTTTATTGTTGTTCAACAGGTTGACAAGTACCGGTACATTCATGATGACATGGAGCCCATCACAACACCCGTTACTTCTCTGGGTCATTTTGGCATGTTTGGTGGTGGGATTGATCACCACAAATCTGACATCAAGTACACGTAACATTCCTGCAACAGCATGCCCACATGCCTTTGGTAATAACTACATGTATACTGGACAATTGTTCTTATCTTACAAATGTCTTACATGCAGTGTTCTAGCCAGGCATCAAATAGCGCTAGCACCCGCTACGCTTTCGGAAATAAGCGCTACGCTTAAATCGCGCCGCTACGCTACCGCTACGCAATAAATTTTGGTTGCGAAAAAAAACATATCTGCCGTTTGTTCGTATACAAGCTTGCGCAGCGACTTTGAGCATTGCGCACTGGCCGTACGACACAGCGAAAAATAAACAACGATCCCACCGCACGTACCCCGTACGATACCCCTACTGTGATGCTGCGCCACACGCATTCGCTATGATAGCAATAAGCACGTGCTGTTTTGTGCTGCGTAGATACAGCGCTCCGTACGGACGTACGTGTCACCAACATACACGTACAGAGCGCTCTGTGGACCACACCATTTTGCGGTATCGGGTGTGCTTTCCTAAGGTAAATATTTACAAGCATTTCAACTGTTTTAAAATTATAAATAATATTTTTATCAAGTCTGAAACATGTTACTGTTTGAAAATAAGTTCTTCAACATCGCAACATAATTTTCGTAAAGGATTTATTTGAGAACGATGTCCAAAGAAAGGTTAAGCACCCCTACGATATCAATGGATCCGTCCACAAAGATGGCCGCACGTGAGGAATTCTTCTCGAAGAATGTCGCTGTCGAAAATTTGGATTTTGACTACACTACTCGTTGCTGATAATAACAGTTCAATAAGTTTGGTAGTAAAAACGGATCTGTTTGTTCTTAGGACAAAACCAATCAGCAAGTATTGCAACAAAGCAAGTTTTTTAGCGCTCCACGAATGTGTTGCTTTCTCAGATGCTGAGGGAAAATTTGGTCGCGTAGTTCGCCGGCGTAGCCGGTGTGGGCTGGCCCGCGCCTGCACGCCGGGGCCGGCGGCGGCCGGGATAGGAAGCAATTCCCGGTGATTATTTCTCATCGTCATTAATTATCTACAATTATATTTTTTAACATAACAAAAATGAGATTTCTCCTTCACATTGTGTTGTAGCATATTGAAATTGCAATCGCCGACGACTTTTTCTGTCTTAGACCTCCATGGTTTTACAATTTCTCTCCCTGCTGATCGGATGGTTTTATTTACAAATTTAAAATCGGAACTACTGCTACATGTACTACCGCAGCTCTACACAACACAAGGCTTCTTGAAATATGAAATGTTCATGCGATTTGTTCTCGCACTTAATATTGACAAAGTAAATCCCAATTTTTTATAAAACATTGAGGAACTACTAAAAATGGTTAAACATCAGAAAGCATCGATCTTGGAACAATTTATACATTGTAAACATAATCTAAAATTTGAAAACAGAAGAAACTTTACCAGGAGCAAGAATATCAATCATTGAAACAAATAAAACAAAATTTCTTATAATTTTAAACACTTCTGCTAAAAAAAATCAGGGGAAAGTGGCAGGGAATCGCCTCAGATCGCACCACAGAGCATCTAGAGTCCAAAATTTTTCAGGGCCCTTAAGCGGGCCCCAAACCCCACGCCGTAAGGGCTCCGCGCTCCGCGCTCGCATTAGTTGTTGAACCAAAATTACCCCTACGCTATAATTTCACCCTGGCTAGAACCCTGCATACATCAACAAATATTTGAATATATGTACATGTACATTCATACAACAGTTGTTTTGTTATGTTTTGCTACAGCCAACGATACTCTGGATGCTTTCGGCCTGTTCAACAACAGTGCCTATGTGCAGCTTGGACTAACACACCGAATCCCATGTCTGGCTTACTCTTATCGGGAAAATGACACATCTCCGATGGTCATCTGGTACAAATTGAACAAAAGTCCCGACAGCGGAGACATAGAAACACAATGGCTGATAACCTACAATGAAGGGGAATATACAGACAGCGACAGATATTCCCTCACTTCTACGTCTGATTTCGGCCTCCACATTAAAGGTGTTGAAGAGAGTGATGGTGGCAAATACCGTTGTGAAGTCAAATGGTTCGGCACGAGGTACACAGATTGGAAAAAGACAATTATCGACATTGAAGTCATTGGTAAGACTGCTGTCAAGATCATCTTACATGTACAAGAGTTAATCACATCAGTTGGCATCATTTGGAAAATGGGCATGAGTTGCATTTTTGTACATTGTAGAATGTACAATGTATGTACATTGTACACATCTCATCAATCTTACAAATTATGTAGTTTATTTGGAAATTGAATGACTCCAGATACAATTGTGTACATGGACATGTACATGTTCATTAAATGACATTACATGTACCGCACATTAGGTTTGCCTGTCTGAAACCATTTTTAGCGATTTTGATTTACACGAAAATAATGTTAGAAACCTGAATATTATTTTTTCTGTTGAAAGATTCTTAGTATGCACCAAAATAAAAACTGTCAAAGAGTTCACACAAAAATGTGTTTGGCACAGATGCATGTGTATGTACATGTAGGTACTGATAATCTTAAAATATGTGTGCATGTGATTAGAACTTGCATGCCCCTCTTATTTGTAAACGATATCTTCATTAGCGCTATGCATGCAGTCATAATGTCTACACATGCAGTGCATTAATGCAGGCCACTATTTTTATGCAAATTAGTTGGAACCAATCTAGCGCCTTGGTTCAATCGTCGGCAAAAGCTTATGTTTTTCTTTATTTTGCACTGGATTTAATAATAATTAAATTAATTTGCCCAATATAATAATAATTGATACATGTAAATTGTACAATGTACATGTGCATGTACCGGTTCAGTTGTACAAAATATATGTCAAGCAATTTTTTTTTGAAATGATCTAAAACTGAAGCTTTCCAATTGTAATTTCACAAATTTGGAAGTTACAAGTGGAAAGCTTCAGTTTTAGATCATTTCCGATGTTCTGAAACATGATTGCTCAGTCCATGATCCACCGTGGCCTCTCAGTCCATGGATGATTATGTTGACGTTATAGGCCTACATTGTACATGTACATGTACTTTGTATTCAGTACAAAAGTATACACTTTACACGTACATATACACATGTAGGCCTTCATGAATTTCTTTTCATTTAAGTCGGTACTTTCAGCCTAAAATACTATTTTATTTAAATTAGAAGTAATTAACTTGATTTGGAGATACAGTTTTGTATTACATGTATTTTGATTGTGCTGTTAACATATCCAGAGTTAAAAAAAATCATGTTTCAGAACATTGGAATTGAACAATTTGAGTCAGTTCCTTATTTTGGTTCAGTTCAGTTCAGTTCGGAAGTGCTGCATTTATGGTGATTTTTAGTTTACTCCGGCGGTTCAGCAGCATCACTATTTTGGAAGACTTTGGAAATTTACTGAAAGAAATTCTGAGGGAGTTGTTAAGGTTAAAGATTGTTAAAAGCCACATTAACCTGAATTCTAAAACTGGATTTTTTTCATACTCGCAGGATACACTTTTCCACATGGAAGTGAGGCAGTCAGTGAAGGATCGCCCCCTTCTAGTCTGGAGCAGGGGCGGAGACACACTCTACAGTGTGAGTGCGCATCACAGACACCAGATGCACCAGCCTCAGTAGTGTATTGGTCGACAGGAGAAGACATCCCTACAGATACGCAGATCATAGGTGCTCGTTTCTCTAATGGTACTACCCTGCAGATCCAACATGGCGCCGATTACAGCATTGGTAGCGACGCTTCACTTACAATCAACTCCCTGAATGACGTACCAGATACACAGAGATTCTGGTGTCACGTGTTTATGACAGATGGTGCTCCCCATAGTTGTTCCACTGGCGTTTTCATCTTACAAGGTGAATAAGACAACTTTTAAAGCACGTCCCTCCGAGGTCACCCTTTCGGACTTCATTGTCAACATCCTGAAGAATGTATCCTTCAATTAATCACATAGTTATGTCTGTTGTTTGCATGTTGTATTTCCAAAACCATACATACATACATGTATCTTAAATAAGTCACCAGTCATCACACAAATAATTTCCATTTCTAAATAGTGTGTGACAAACAGATGTAAAATGTCTGAAAAAGTTTTTTTGTAGCCAATTTTTTTCCCCCGCAATATCGGCGATATGGCAATAAATCGTCAACAAATTAAACAATTTATATTTAAATAGCGATCTTCACAATACTCCAAATATAAACGCACCGACAGAAAGGTAAGGAGTGTGGCCAACCAGGAACTTGGTGAAACCAAACAGATTTTTTTTTCCATGTATAGCACAAATTATTCTGATTACGTTTTCAATTTGCCCGGCAGTCATCCGCACTGTCAGTCACCGCGAACCCGACATGTGCAAAATGTCCGTCATTCAGCGCCTGCATGGCCAGCTCCCGACGTCTAGTCCGTTCACGTTAGCCGACTTTTTGCACGTCCCGAATTTGGGAGGATATTGCATGAAAAATAATCAACGCACTGGAGACTCCCTTCAATCAAAGATGGCGGCGCCCTGTTTCTGAGATAAATTTTTGAGGGGACAAAATAAAAAGCTATCTCCGCTTGAAATGCAGCTTGGTTCGTTTCGAATACATATAGTAAAGTTTATTGGTTGCATAATTCTTTTCCATGCGTTCCCATGACCTGCTGCTGAATTCACCCTTACTGTACGTCCCAGCGGCACTTTGCACGCCCTGGATCTGGAACGGGCTTGCCTGCGATCTCGTAGCGATCCCCGCCCACCGGCCACGTGGCGATGGTGTATCCCGCCCACCTAGCCCAGCCAGCCACACCGCACTGTGCTGCGCCTGTACGTGGCTGTGGCCGGTGTCGTATGAAAATCGGACTCATATGAAAATTATTGGTTAAACCCCCTCACTTGACCAATTCCTCACCAAATTATCACGCAAGCGCAATACTATACCAATTATATAAGTCCTAAATTCATGCTACACCCGTCGCTAAGCAGGCTTAAATAAATAGGCTTCCTTCCTTCGTGAAAAAGCTTATGAGTGAGCTTACCCACGTCTGATCACATCACGTGTTTGCAATCTTGTCCAACTTAGGCCAGGTAAAAAAACATGTTCAGCGTCCAGGTTTTGAAAAATTTCCGAAAGCTGTTGGTTTTTACACCGTTCAAAGACACAGAAATTAATCAGACATATTGAACAAGAGAATTAAACATATTAAGAGTGATTTTAATAGTTTTCGAGCACAGTTTTAAAATAATTTTAAAAAAAAACACTGCTGCGCCGGCATTCTTGTCCACGTTGCCTGCATGCCGCTATTTTATTGACGTAACATTTGGATTTGTCTATGTGAATCAGCTTTCCTATCATCTTATAAGAATTTTTACAGCCACTGGAAGCGGCATACAGCTCCAGAAACTTTGAGGTTTTTGTTCAATCCATTAAAAAAATTATAAAACTTTCAGAACCATCTTTGAAAAATGTGTCTCTATTATCATTTTGTCCTTCCCCGTCAAAAACCAATACAGTCCCGGATCGTGCACTTACAATGTACGTTGTTCTGAAGCCTCAGATTAGAAAGGAAAAAAATGTCGGGTACGAAACCGAAAATAGTACACGCAAGTGAAAAATCCAAATTTGTATCGACTGAGCTACTGCACTTCTCGCCAAATCGTGGGAAAAAGAATTATATACCTGCGTACGTACATGTTTCATGCAAGTATCGTAGAGGGCCCTAAACAACCATGTATGCGGATGTAGTTTGGGAACGAAAATTCGCCGACGGGCGGCTAGAGTTGTTTTTAGTGTTTGTTATCCTGCAGATTTGGTTTTGATTTACGTACCGGTACGTTTTGCAGCAAAAAAAAAAATTATCACCGATATCTTTTCGAAAAATGCGGGTTGAGAAAAAAATCGGCGATTTAAAACTGATATTGCCGATATCACAATATTCCGATTTTTATCACAACGTATGCGATTCCAATTATTTTTTGATAAAAATCGTATCGCGGCGATATTTTCGTCGTATTGTCTAGCACTGGAGAATGGTTTGGCTTGTGTATACATGTACGTAAAACTATTTTATTTTTCTGTGAGGCACTCCAAAAAGATAATATAATAGCCTATTGTGTTGACTTCAATAATGTTGTACTTGTGTTGCTGCTTTTGAACAATCTTGGTCTTTTAACTTTCAAGGGACTTCAAGTTATAAGTAAATGTGGCTGGTTTTTACCAGTCCTTTATACAATGTACTTCAACCCTTGTCAGGGTAGGGGATTAGGGTTGATGGTGAACCCTCCTTTTTAACTATTCATGCAGGTTTAAATTTTTCTGAATTTGGAACTGTTTCATGTTATGCTGTCTCATAGCTTGTCCTATTTATTGAATGGAACACTGAAGTAATAACAGTGACCAGGTCATACATGAACAGCGTATGTGTCTAATAAATATTCTATTTCTCTTTTTTTTCTGGGGGGGGGGGCATTCAGATGGAAATCCCAACATAGTCCTGAAGGCATCGCCAACAGAGTTCTATCTTCCAGAAGGATTTCCGCAAGTTCTGCCTTGTAGAAGCTGGACGCCTGGTGACGTGATGTGTGGCGTCCAATGGATTCATGAGCATGATGAGTCTAGTCAACGGGTCGTCCTCAGTTACAATTTGTCTACTGACACCGTCGAGGCTGATCCTGATTACGATCTTGCCATAGACTTTGGTCTACGCATCAAATCTGTCAATCACACCCATGGTGGACGGTACACGTGCTGCATTCTATACGGTCTTCGAAAGGCGCCCTTGAGAGGAGCTATTGACACACATGTGATTGGTATGTGATTGCATTAGATGTACAAGTTCTTTTTGACCGTTCAATGTTTTAGAAACCAATGATTATTTTCTTCACACAGAAACTTTTTAGGCAAGCCGGTTGTGTCGGGTGTGTGTGTACTCGCTCCCCCAAAAACATGTACATTCAACATTTCTGTGGGTTTTTTTTTTTTAATTTTCGTCCAAGTTTGTCGCAATGTCAGGTGACCCACATGGTCAAAGTTATAGTAAACATGGTAAAAAGGTCATCATGCTTCAAATAACTCCGACATGAAAAAGAATGGTAAATTCGGATTTCTTATGATGTCACTTTTCCAAAGCAATCAAGATGAACAGATTATTTAGCCCACAGGTTATGGAAATGTGGTCATTAGAAGAAGGCGGCCACATCCACTTTTGCCATTTTAAATGGCAGGTGGTATCGCAAAAACTGTTGTTCCGTTGCAGGAAAACTTAAGCTTTTTCACCCAAACTTCCCATTCACTGAAAATGAAGCAATTTGAAGCCGGGGGGGGGGGGGGGGGGGGGGGACACAGAATGACCCATACAATGTACATGTACAGCAGGTGCATACATGTAAATTTCCAAGTTAAGTCAGTTCCAAGACCCTCAAAACTGGGCATACATTTTCTTTGTTTAATACAAATGTGTAGTATCCACCAGTGTTGTAGTACTCGTACTCGTGTAGTACCCGAGTGCTTTTTTAGAGTACTCGTACTCAAATGTCGGAGTACTGGTACTCAAAATGACGGTGCTCATAGTCGGACAGCAAAGTACTCGTAATCAACATGTCGAAATTTTACTTGATCATGAAGGTACTCGTATTGGAATAGCAATACTAAAACAAAAAAAATGGCGTAGCTTGACTCACCATGGCCTTATTTTATCGATACTTTCAGTTTGAAAAGGTTGATTAGCTTGCGGAGAAATCAAAGTTTTTTTTACTTTCCTCTGCGCACGTCCAGACAAACACAATTAACAGCTAGCCATGAGTAGGTCTGTACATGTATATATATCAGTCTGACAGGGCCTGGAATAATTACGCACAATGAACCATTTGCGGTATGTGGGCACAATGGCCAATCATGTACATGATATACGTGAAACGCTGAGGTGTTCCTCAAAATGGTCTTCAATTAACTTGGGTGATTGGAGCAAAGCTGTTTTCTGAACCCCTGTTTCCACTCCCTCCCCGGGTCCAGCCCCATTGCCAACCTGCATGAATGGAGAAAGAGGCGGAGCTGAAGCCAGGGTTTAGAAAATGACCCCTAGTCTGGTTCTGGTGTCATGCCCACCGACTAAACACAGGCCTAGGATTGTCATGTCAGGGGAGCAGACTATGCATAGTACATGTACATGTACATGTACATTACCACAAATCTGCCACATTGCACGTTGTACCGTCCACGTTCGCTTGACAACAATTGTCAGCCTGTGAAGAATTTGTGGCACTTTTGTGCCCAAGTTGTAACTTGTTCGTGATGAAAATCACGAAATATATCGCTTGTTGTATGCCAGTACTCGTACTCAGAAGTACAAGTACTGGTACTCGTACTCGGCAACATAAGTGCTCGGCAATACTCGGTACTCAGAAAAAAAGTACTGGACTACAACACTTGTATCCACTGAGCTTTTGTATCATCTATTTTGGGTGAGCCGAAACGAGTGTTAGAAACCACTTTAAATTGAATTTGTGTGTCCCTAAATACTGTTCAATAAATCTCAGTACATACATGTACATTGTAGTTACACCAATATCGTAGGTGATGCAGAGAAGAAATGAAAATCACACAATGTTTGGGGCAGAATATCCATTGTGCATTTTTTATTCATTGGAGGATACTGGAGGATTCAGGAAATTTATTTACTGGTAAGACTGTTAAAATTCCGGGATACAAATTGTTGATTAAAACCTCTTGGATCTGGAATGACAAAACAAGGTTTGTTTCATCATTACAGGACACACCTTCCCACCTGGAAGTGGGGTAATCAGTGAGGCATCTACCCCTACTAGTATTGAGCGGGGACGTAGACATATGCTACCGTGTGGGTGCGCATCACAGACGAACGATGCACCACCTGCAGTGTATTGGTCCATGGGAGAAGGCAATACTACAGACACACAGATCATTGGTGCGCGTTTCTCTGATGGTACTACTCTGCCGATCCAACATGGCACCAATTACAGCATTGGTAGCAACGCATCACTTACAATCAACTCCTTGAATGACGTACAAGATACACAGAGATTCTGGTGCCACGTGTTCCAGTCAAACGGCACACTCCATAGTTGTTCCACTGACGTTCAGATCTTACATGGTAAAATGTGACAATTACTAAAGCACTTCCCCATAGGTCACCCTTTCCAACTTCATTGTCAACATCCTAAAGATTGTATCCTTTGAATGTATCCTGTCATATATTTGCGTACATTCCTAAAATGTACAAAACCAAAACATGCCAAATGCATATAAAATATCCCATTAATCATCATTCATCACACAAATAATAGGGAGAGGGAAATCCTCACTTATCCATTAAAATAATGTTCATCATTCTTTTCTTTTTATTCATGAATGTTTTGAGGTTGACCACTTGTTACAATGTACATGTACATCCATAGGTTACAAAAATACTAAATCACTATAAGCTCAGTTTGAAACTCATGCTTAAATTGTCTTGATATTTAATTCAATTCACAATTCATCACATTGGTGTCTCAGGTACAAAAATGCAGCCAGCATATTGCTGGCAAGCAAAAAGCAAGCAAGCAAGCAAGCAAGTTGCAAGTAGCAAGGTTGAACTGTAAGAATAATGAAAAGAAAATACTAAGTTTGATTTTTGTGTAATACAAATCTATCAGTGGTGAGTATAAATAACTTTTCATCTTACAACATGCACAATGTCAAAAGAGCCAAAAGACAAGCAAGGAATGACTCATGAGATTCGAATTGACTGATCAAATAATTCAAATAATGCTCACAAATTGCCTTTAAAAATGTGATAATAAATCTTTAACACAATCATTAAAAAACTAAGCATTTTTAATATACAGTAAACTCCAGCTAAACCGACATCGTACAACTCGTCAAATCGCTCAAGTCGGCCGTCTGACTAAAGTCACGATCAAGGGCTGATCCTGGGGGGGGGGGGGGGGGGGGGGGGGGGGGGGGGGGCCCCCCCCCCCCCCCCCCCCCAAAAAAAATGAGACCAATTTTTTTTTTTTTTTTATGTGACATCGCAATAAAGGCAGGCAATGAGTACACCACTATCTTTTCCTCAAAAAACATCAATTGGTTAAAGTGGTCAGAAATTGCCTCAAATCCAAAAAATTTCGGGGCCCTGAACCCCACGCCGTAATTGTTTGGACCCACTTTTTGGGGGGTCCAAAAAAATTTTGGCCCCCCAAAAAATTGTGTTCTGGATCTGCCCTTGGTCCCGATTGTCCGTAATGCATTTCCATTGAATTTTTTATTTCTAAGTGGGCTTTCATAAGTTGCCATTTCGCTCAATTCGTCGTGTTACTCTCGGTCCCCTTTCCATAAAAAGCATTACAAAATCCTTTGTGTGAGCCGGCATTCAACAAATCACGCATTGGCATTGGCTTCCTATACAGCGGTTGGCAAAGTGTCGAGTGAAAAGTGGTTTCACACGGCCTGTGAGTGCTGCATGCGTCAGTGTCGAAAAAGGGTGTCCTACTGCATACATCACATGCATCGTGAGCATATCAATAGACCGCTTGCAGACGCGTTCGATAATTGACGCGCGAAGGTGCGCGACGCCATGTTGTGTGACAAAATGTGCATGGGTAGATATGCGCTTGTCCCACAACATGGCGTCGCGCGCCTTCGCGCGTCGATTATCGAACGCGTCTGCAAGCGGTCTATACCCCCTCTAGGCTGTACGCATGCGCTCTGTCCATTTTTGGGGTCGTCTAAATGAATGACTATTGCTGCAGTCAATGCGTGTGTGGTATATACTGGACCACGCACGCATTTAATTCATTACTGTGTGCATACATATGTATCGTGGTCTCCACTATCAATACCCCAAACGTGATGATACAATTTGAGGATTAATTTGCTGGATTCAACTCAAGCATTAAGGAGATAATCCAGGGTAAATTGAAGCCATTTAGTGCAATGAATCATGTGTGCACAAGACCATTCATGTAAACATCGGCAAAATGACAACTTACAGCAGATATCGGCATTCGCGTAAATCGTCACAAATTCTCAGGTCCTGATGGTGCCGGTTTAGCCGGAGTTTATTGTATGTATGGGTTACTCCATGAAGTTGGAATAATAGCTGATAATGCTGAAATTACTCTCTTTGTTATCAATTTGTAAAAAATTTATTCTTTCAAATCCTTCAAAGTAACATTTTCCTCAAAGGATATGATGTTACTTTTAAAAAGAAAATCAAACTAGGACTGTATCTGCCCTCAAATATTTTTTATTGGGCAAAATGTGTGCAAAACCCACTAAAAATGTCAGTAAAAAGTGTGACATTTAAATTAACAGAAACATGTGTTTTTATTGTTGTTGTTTTGTTGCAAAAATGCCAACTGATCAATCCTTTTAAGCAATTTACTATTAGATTAAAGTCATATTCACCCATATCTATGCATAAAATTGTACAAAAGCTGCTCGTGTTGATATTACATGCATGTGAAAATTCTGTTACCTATGCTACATTTGGTGTCCACACTTTTTGTGTCCTGTAGCATAGGTACTAAGGCTTGCTATCTCCATACAGTACACTGTATCTGAAAGATTTTGATTTTAATATGTGCAACTCACTCCAAGTTGAGTTTTTAAAAAGTTGAATTCTCCAAACTTGCTGCTGTTTATAAGATGCAAGAAGAAAAAGTATCATTTTTTGAAATGGTGTCCATGTAGCATCGGTATTTTCAAACTAAAGAAACCCCTCAAGCTGAAATACCTCCACACATACTGACACATCTTAACCTTTGGTAAATAGTAATTGGATGGATATACAAAATAAAACATGCTTTGCAAAATTGTTCTTCAGCAATGAAGATTTATGTTCCAAAATATAGCGTGGTGTCCAGATGTAGCATAGGTAGAAAATGTAGCATAGGTAAGAGAGTATTCCTTTAGTTGTGAAGCTATGATTGTAGACACATTATTTTTTAATGTTAGAACCAAGAGAGTGGTTAATTACAATAAATTAATAACAATCAGATACAGATGAACTCTATTTTACATAAGGGTTTTCTCCTCTAAAGTGAAAATTGATAAATAGGACACGGTGTCCATGTAGCATAGGTATTGTTCCACACTCTATAATTCATACATACATCCAAATTATGTATCCAAAATTCAGCTTCTGTATTCGGTTTGCATGTCCACTGCCATAAAACATGATTTAGCCATTTTTTGCTTAATTTTCAGTTAATTACTGGATAAATTGTGCTGTTTTCTACCTATGCTACAGGACACGGTGTCCATGTAGCATAGCTAAAATTGACACATTGTCAGCCATATTGCTCAGCACAACGAGCAAAGGCATACATTTTGAACATCATTTTAGAAAGGTGGTTCACTGACTGTGTCATTTAAGTCAAACTTTTACTCATAAATGCTATTTTAGATCTCTTCTAGCTGATTTGGTTACTTTTTCCAAACAAGCACAATTTTGTCAAAATTACACAAAAAGCCTCAATTTACAATGAGTTGTATCAACTTTTTTTGAGCATCTGCTGAACCATTTGTTTTTTCCTTTGATTATACCCTAAAAGTTAATCTTAAACAACAAGAAAACTGACAAATAACCTAACCCATTAAAAAATGTTCAGAGCAATTGTTTAGATTTGGTGTCCATGTAGCATAGGTATTTTGAATTTCCCATCATGAATATAAAGATCAACCACAAATTCAGTTTTATGTTTTGGGGAAAAAGCATACTATTTCCTAAAAATATAGTAGTTGAGCTATCAAAAACAATATTCAGATCAACATTTGGGAACTTTGACCCAATGTCACACTTTTTGCCCGAACTTCATGGAGTAACCCACATGCATGTCGGTAAACTTACTTTTGCTGAGGTTCCAAAGCATGTCGCATATAATTGGCAAAGAACAGTACAGTTATGTCAAGGCATATGTCAGCATGGTTGTGTACATGTACAGTATAAAGCATAGGGGCAAATGGTCATGTCCAAAGAACTGACCACACCCAATATACAGCGCCCTCAGGCAACCAATAAGACAGTGATGTATGCATAATTACGCTAATAAGGCAACCTAATCAACTTGCTACAAGTGTCAAATTCTGTCTGTTACACCACTCATTAGACAATACAAGGTCTGTGAGTGTGGTACATATTTGCTCCTGATGCCGAAAAAATTAGTACAAAGTACATGTACATCCCTGTCAGTGCAGGACACTTCCATGTTACCGGTACTTATGACTGTCAACATAAAAGCTCGCATTGAGCCTGCTATCATTTTTATCTTCCTGGTTGTAAGCCAGCATTGGCCAGAGGGGAATATTGTGATAGCGTATTCCTTCTGTGTGTACATAAATGTCTGTGTGTATGTTTGCGTTTCTTTATGGCGTAAATCAAGGACACACATGCAACATCATCAGTGAATCAAGGTCAGAAACTGAATCGAGGACTCCTCGATTGCAAACATGTACAAAACCAATGAAAGCTGTTGCGGAAAAGTTGAAAGTATAAACAAAGGGAAGAGGAACAAAAGAAAATCCTTTATTTACACCATAAACAAAGGTGTGTGTGTGATCTGATACACTGTGCCCTCTGGAGACGTGTGTATAATAGGGAATAAGAGATTGTACACGTCTCCACAGGGCAATTTCTATAGATGAATACGTCTCCACAAGGTTTTCACAAAATAGATATACATGTATGGATTTTACTTAAAAACTAGGAATTTCCAAGGTGGGTTGATCTGTCGCAAATGGAAGAGTTTTAGAAAAGGGATATTAAAGGGAAGATACAACATTTACAAACATCACAAAACAAAATGATCAAATTATCATGAAATACCTTACTGGATTGTTAGGGAATGACAGTCTAAAGCATTTTGTAAAATCGTGGCTCCTGGTGCGCTATAATTCTCAAGAAAAATGGTATTTTCCAATGCTGGTCGGCCGACCAGCATTGGAAAAAAACTGGCTTTTTTCAAAACCTTCTAATTTTTTCATAATTAGTTATTCATTGTTTTCTTTGCAACTGATTGCACATATTTGAAGGGGTACCGTACAAGCCTGCTAGACTAATTCTCTGACCTTACAATTCCCTAAAGTCTATAAATTGCTCCGTTTCATCTTAAGTGGGGTCGGGGAACCAGACTACAAGCACATGATTGGTTTTCTTGGTTTTTCCAACACCTACATGTACAAGCCCAAAACGTGAAACAAGTCATTTTAACAATATTTGCCATAACGTACAACTACTCCAAATCTATTATTTCTGAAAATTGCAGCAAACAGCAAATGTTGTACATTCCATTTAAGTCCAAATTTTAGCCAAGGAAATTAATTCTGGTTAAAATAAGATCATTTTGAAACTTCACTTTCAAACTCGAAAACTTTACTACATGAGAACAAAGGAATGTCTCCACAAGGATACAAATTCCAGTATGTGTGTATGTGCATTTGTGTGTAATGTTTTGGATAGGTTAGCTCTTGTCAGGACAATAACTTGAGGAATACTTTACTTAGCAACTTGAAATTTGGTTTGTTGATTGTTCTTGATAGTCTGAAGAAGTTTATTTATTTTAGGGCAATATTCCTAAAACAAAAGAATCTTGTCACTGCAATAACTTGAGAAATTTATTCTTTACTATAAGGAACTTTAAATTTGGTTTTAGGTTTTTCTTGGTCTTACGAAGGCCATTGCTTTTGGGGCCGATAGGTCAATGGTCAAGGTCACTATATTGCTAAAACAATTAGAAATCTTGCCAACGTGGTAACTTTAGAAATACTTCAGGAACTTGAAATTTGGTTTGTGGATTGTTCTTGGTAGTCCTAAGAAGCCAATTGTTTTGGGGCAATGAGGTCAAAGTTCAGGGTCATTATTGCTAAAACAATAGAAATCTTTTATGTCAACGCGGTAACTTGAGAAATACGTTACTTATGAACTTTAAATTTGGTTTGTGGGTTGTTCTTGGTAATCTTAAGAAGCCTGTTGCTTTTTGGGCCGACAGGTCAAGGTCACTATTGATAAAACAATAGAAATTTTGTCAGCTCGATTGCTTGAGATATACTTACCGGTACTTAAGAACTTCAAATTAGGTTTGTGAGTTGCTCTCGGTGGTCTTATCAAACCTATTGATTTGGGGGCCGACGGTCAAAGGTCAAATTCACTTTTGCTAAAACAATAGAAATCTTCCATTTTGGTATAGGGACACTGACTTTATAAAACTGCCAGCATGCCAGGGGGATTGCGCAAGTCTCACTTGTAGTTTTTTTTTTGTTATACTGTAAACTGACTGTAAAATGACATCAAGGTTCATTGCGGCTGTGCCTTATACGAAGAAGAAATCTTACCCCCTTGAGTGATGTACTAGGAACCTTCCTCACTCTTGCAAAATCTACCACCATGTACCGGTATGGTCAACTCTTCACCCAAACTGTTGGACTCTGATTATGGTGGTATGCCTAACCCAATGTGAAGCATAATCAATTTACTCATGTATTACTTACTCCAACAGATTCCAACAAAACATGCAGTTGGATTTTGAAGGATAGTGGATGCATGGTTGGGGTTAATGAAGAAGGGTTTCCCCACCACTTGCAAGCCTCCCAATTCAGTTGTTTTGGCTCCGGGGAGGGTTAACTAACAGATAGCTTATGAAATTTTAATGAAACTTCTGTAAACAATGTAACTGACTAAATTGACAGGAATAATATAAATTGTGTGACTTGACGTTTTGACCCTGGCAGGATCTGAGATCTTGCCAAGGTTGAAATGTCATGCCCTCTTGATCTTCCTCAATACATAGATGAAACATAAATATATTAGAAGATTCAGAGTGTTTTTTGTTTTTTTTGTTTTTTTATGTATACAGATAAGGAACTCAATCCAGACCCCTCTGGAACACTTGTCTACATCTTTATTCTAATTGGATTATTTGTACTGGTACTGGTACTGGTAGTAGCAGTAATAATTTTGGTTCATCGGTGGTGCAAAGGAAAACGGCCCTTCAAAAAGAGCTCCAACTTGGACACAAAATACACGCATGTCCCAATACTTGAAGGTATGTTGTCATTTGATGTTTAACAAAAAAAATCAAACACAAACACTGCCTTGTTGGTCAAGTGCATTGCAAACTACATGTACCTTGTGAATCACCCAGCAGAAGGGCTAGATAAATGTGGTGGCTTTTTCGCAAATTTGGAAAAAAAACTTTCTTTTAGGTTTGATGTTATTTTATGGCTTTTTTGCAAATTTGCGAAAAAGGCCTTTTCTCTCTGTTCTGATTTTGTTTGGCTTTTCCGCATAGTTGCAAAAATGCCTTTCTCTTTGTTCTGATTTTTTTCCTTTCTTCTTTTTGTTCTACCCTAAATCCCATAGACTTTGTACATGATTTTTGTGACATCCACTTTTGGCACTAATCTTTGTCATACATCATTCAAAGTCAGCATATAGGCATAGTCCCTATAGCAAAGTTGTGTCTGGAAGAGTGATGTCATCATAATGTCACCATGGGTCACTTGACGTCATCACAAATGTGCATATTTTTAAGTCCTATAACTGCAAGATTGTAAGTCCGATTTGGTCGAAACTCAGTATGTAGGTAGGCCAGGATGTGTTATCTATAAAATTGAGATGACGTCATCATGACGTCATCGTGTGATTATATATAGATTTTTGAAGTTTTGTAGATTATCACCATATCTTTCGAACCCAAGATGCTAAATTCAAAATTCTTTTTGCATTAGGTTTGTTAGGTAATAGGTATATGCAACAAAAAAAATTTAAAATTTGTGACGTCACGATAACATCATCAAAAATGTGATTTTTCAAAACACATACAGGTATAAGGGTAAGTCGGATTGTCTTGAAACTTGGTGGGTAGGTAGGTACCGTTACAAGTATGCAAATCCCGAAGTGACATCATGATGATGTCATCGTAAGATTTTTAAAAATGTTTATTCTGCTTTCAAAAATGTACACTTCCGTTCATACGTTTGACTTCAAACTTGGTGCAAATCAAATTCAAATTCAAAAGCAACATTTATTTCCATACTTTCCTCAAATAAGTCAAACTAAGTTTTCAAATAAAAAGAAGTTAATTGTGTGTATTAAATAAAAAAAAATAATGATACAACAATGTAGTGCATGTGCAATGACTGAATATATTAAATTTAGTAGGAGAAGAGTATGGAGCTGTTCATATATAAACCGAAGCTAGTAGAGAACAGCCAAAACATATACGGACAATACAGGACAGTATACTGTACACAGATAATAGGAATAAACACGAAAACAGTCAAGGGGAAACTAAAGACAAGACAAAACAAAATAAAACATGAGACGGGACACTAAAAACCGAGATAAATTGCATAGTTGCGATGAGGTTAAGTCAAATAAAAGTGACAATGAATTGTGTGAAAAGAAGAGATGTGGCTATGGAGAGTGGCTGAGGAGGGAAAGCTATGTTACATATTGTGCTAGGAGCGCCTTTTGATACGAGGATTTGAAACAGCCCACGGACATCATTGTTCTGATTTCGTTTTCAATGGTGTTCCACAAAAACGGAGAGTAGAACTAAAATAGAGGGTGCGGGTAAATGGGACGTATAAATAGTGGCGAGATGTGCATGTAGTTGAATAATTGTGTGTGCTTTGGACTGATGAGAAGAAAGAAGAGAAACTATTGGGGAGAAGATTGTGAGTGAATTTATACATAAAGATCTCGGTGTGAAATTTATTTTTAAGTCATTAAGAGTGAGGGTATGTAGCCTTACAAATAGGTGCAGAGTGCTCCCGATTGTGTGAGGAAGTACAGATACGAATAGCTCTTTTTTTGAGTGATGTACATGTATAAAGAGTGCAGCTTGTTATTGGATGTGTGCGTCCAGACAATATTACACTAGTTAATTGTAAGGGAAAATAAGTGAGTTATAAGGCAGAACCAGGCATTTAGGAGAAAAAAAGGAAGTTTAGACAGAACACCGGTATTGCGTGAAACTACTTTTGTAATAGAGGAGATATGCTCAACCCAGGAAAGTTTTTGGTCGATGATGACACCCAGGAATTTAGTTGATTCAACCCCTGTAATAGGAATATCCTCAATTTTAACAGGAGGCAAAACAATATGTTGATGACAAGAAGCAAGACAACAATGAAAAAGACTAAACCCTAACGGCCAGTAGAGAGGAGGAGAGGCTTGGCGAACCCCCGTCTTAACCAGCTAATGAAAGACAACAAGGATGGCACAACTAAACAACACAAATCCTATACAGCTGCCAGCTCCGGGAGTGAGCATGGGCACAGCTGCGGGACCCGGTACACGTCCTAACGGGCATTATGACGCCACTCCCTTAAACCCATCTGGGAGGGGAGAGGCTGACGTGTGTGGCGGTTCGAAACGAACCCTTTTGAGATGTAAGAAAGATGTAATTTTGTCTACAATGAATACCCTGACAATCAGGGAAGTAAAAAATCATCAAGAATTTGCATACAACATGAAAATTCAGAATATTTCGATAATGGGCATTCAGGAGCATCGAATCATACACAAAGACCCAACCAAGACAGTGGAACATCACAAGATCGGCGACCAGTACCTGGTGACATCATCAGCATGGCACAAAAGGGCGCAAGCAGCTTGTGGCGAAGTAGGAATAGTGATGAGTCGAAAAGCAAAGAAGGCGCTCACTGGAGTTAAATCTTTCTCCGAAAGAGTTATCATAGCAACATTCTAGAGCAATCCAGCCACTACTATCATATCTGCTTACTCGCCCACCAGCGAAGCGACAGAGAGGTGACGAGTAGCTTCTATGAGACACTCAGCAATGCGATCCAGTCAGTCCCTGCACACAACTTTTTAGCTGTTCTCCGGACTTCAACGGACGGTTGGGAGCAGACAATGTGCCCCACTCATTCCACCTGGAACCAATGCAAACGGAGAGCGTGTTGTCGACCTAATGGAAGAGCATGCACTGGTAGCTGCAAACACCCCCTTCCGAAAGCCCGAGAAGAAACTCTGGACATGGCTATCACCACTGGACAACAACCAGGAGAAACACAAGCAGCAGATCGACTTCATTCTCGTACTGAAGAGGTGGCGGAACAGCATCAGAGATGCCCAGGCTTTCAACTCCTTCGCTAGCGTGGGGTCAGATCACCGTGTAGTCTCAGCCATGGTGAAACTCATCTGCAAGTACCCAAGAAGCAGGTGAGGAGAAAGGTCAAGTACATGTATGTGTGGGAGGCTTTGGAGTGCGACCAAGTGTTGGAAGAGAAATACGCAGTGGGAGAGAGAAACAGATGCGAATCTTTGGAAGTGGATGAGGATGCAACTAATAGGTACGAGCGTTTCATCAAGGCTCATGAAGGGGCTGCTCAAGTAGTACTAACTCTTGTACCCAAACGGAAGAAGGTCAAATGCAAGTACTTCTCAAATGACCCCTAGAGTCCTTCAGGCCAGGCAAAAAATGGAGGCAGCATATGTCAACTTTGTTGCTGAGGGAAAACAAGAAGAAGGCGGATATGTTGGAGAGAAAGAGCAGCTCAACAAGGTCTTTGATGAGGTGATGGCTGAATATCTAGCCAAGAACATCAGAAACAGCCTTGCTGACAACCAAAGCTCCAAAGGTTAAGTCCTTGTCAAAGAACTTACTGGGAAAGGTTCCTCTTCACAACCAAACCAGATCGCTGGAGAAACTGTGGAAAATCGAGTCAACTAGTGGAGAAAGAGGATAAAGAAATACAATTTGTGTTCCAAGACTTGCCGATCAACGATGGACCATTTACCGTCAAAGATAGAGTACCATTCTGCCAAAAGCTCACTAAAACCTGGGAAAAGTTGCGGGGAAGATGGGATAGAATCAGCCCAGTTCTCGATCCTCTGCTGCACAAAAACCAAAGAGAAGAGAGAAGAGGTCCACAGTCTCACAGATACTGGCTCTGAGAAGGATCATCAAAGGGGTTAACAGGAAGCATTTCCCAGCTGTGATGACCTTTATGGACTTCAGGAAGGCGTTCGACTCGATCCACCAAGAGAAACTCATGGAAGTTCTGCAAGCCTACGGAATCCCAGTGCGCATAGTTCAGGCTATCAGCGCTGTGTATGCTAACACTTCTGCCAGGGTGCTGATGACCCCAGATGGCAAGTCAGACATCTTCGAGATCATGGCTGGTGTGCTGCAGGGTGATACTCGTGGGGAGGGAGGAGCTGCTGGGTTTCACTCTCTCACCAAGGCAAAGCAGACGGGTGAGTGCTGTTGTAGAGACCGACTTTGACTTTGCAGATGACATCGCTCTGGTTTCGGATTCGGTGCAAAAGGCACAAGCACTGCTTCACAGTGTGGAAAGAGTGTGCAAAAAGATTGGCCTGCAGATTAATGCCAAGAAGACGGAAGTCACGTCGTGTTAAACATCAACACTGGGGATGTGAAAATCGACACCAAGGACGGCACTACCCTAGCTGTAAGAGAAAACTTCATCTACCTGGGCTCTCACATCAGCTCAACAGACAAGGACATCCGAGTAAGGAAAGCACAGGCTTGGAAGGCATGCCAAAACCTCAAGAAGATCTGGAGGTCTATGGTGCCGGATAAATTTAAACAAGCTCTATTCTGTGCATCCGTAGAGTCCATCCTACTCTACGACTCTGAGGCATAGACCCTTACTACAAAGCAAGAGGCTCATCTCGATTGCTGCTACACTCGCATGCTGAGGATGGCTCTAGACGTGAGTTGGAGAGACAAAGATCTTTACAACTATCAGACTTAGGCGTCTGCGATTGGCTGGTCACTACGTTCGACATCCAGAGATAGCTGTAAGCCAACTCATGGGAACCCACTCATGGAGTAGACTCTTGAGGTGGGCAGACGCTAACCTACGTATATACGTGGACCAGCTGCGTCGTGATACTGGGCTTACCTCCGTGGTCGAGATCGGGACGGCCATGGGAGACCATGATGTGTGGCTTGCTTTTGTTGCAGTCGACTTGATGATGACTTGAGTCGACTTGATGATGATGATGATGCACCTGGACATAACAACACAAACTCATCAAAAACACTACATGAATGCGGAAAAGCCCTATGTTCTGTTCATTGAACAGACATAGCACTATTCTTCTTTTTCATCTTTTGGGTCCAACCCAAATCCCATAAACTTTGTACACGTTTTTTGAATGAGGCACTTTTGACCTAAAACAAAGTCCTGTTCCGATGAAACTTATTTCAGGTAAAGAACTTACGGTGAAGTTTTGTCCCGAAGAGTGAGGTCATGATTACATTATCGTGGGTCATGTGACGTCGTCACAAACATGCATTTTTTAAAGTCCTATATCTACAGAACTTTAAGTCTGTTTGGGTTGAAACTTACTACATGTATAAGGAAGACCGGGATATGTGTAATGGGTAAAAATTGAGGTGACGTCATGGTGAAGTCATCATACGATTCTATATGAATTTTGGAATTTGTTGATCTTCAAGTATCTCACGAACGCAACATGCAAAATTCAAACTTCTTTTTGTATTTGGTTTGATAGGTAATCCTGACGTCATCAAAATGCAATTTTTCAAAAATCATAAGAGAAGATCCAATCGTCATGAAACTTGGTGGATAGGTAGACAATGTCGCAAGTATGCAAAATCCGAAATGACGTCACCATGATGTCATCGGTTGATTTTCTAATGATTTTTTAATATTAAAATTTTATTCATCCTGTAAAATTGTACACTTCCTTTTTGGACCTTTAAGCCATATCTTACGAACACAACATGCAAAAATTCAAAATTCTATTTGTATTTGTTTTTTTAGGTAATACGTATACATACATGTATATGCACAAAATTTTGAAGAAAGGTGTAACGTCATGATGACGTCATCAAAAATCCGATTTTTCAAAACACATATAAAAGAAGGTCCCATCGTCATGAAACTCGGTGGATGGGTAGGAGATGTATGCAAAATCTGAAATGACGTCACCAAGACGTCATTAGTTGATTTTTTTAATGATTTTTTTTTATATTTACAATTTTATTCCGCTTACACAATATTACACTTCCCTTCATGGGATTGAGGTCAAACTTGGTGCACATCAACACTTCTATGAAAATATGTGCATTGACAAGTGTTTTTACGATGACGTCATCACGGGACATGTAACGTCATGTTAAAGGTGTATATTTTAAAGTACATTTACTTTATGTGGGGAAATTAGTCGTGTAACTACGGTATATAATTTAACTGGCTTTATATGGACAAAACAAAACGTAAAGTCATTAAAAAAAACAATGCAGAAAAGCCCTATGTTCTGTTCGGCATTAAAATAATGATAGTTACATGTACATGTAGGCCTACATGTATGAATGAAATGCATCATTCACTCCAATTTTCTCTTGTTAGCAGTAGCTAAATTTGTTTTATGAAAAGACAGAAATCAACAAAGAGTAATTATGTCAGTGATTATAGCCAAGTGTGGATGAGGCAATCCGGACTCAAGAGGAGAATGTGTTTTTAACATTATTTTGCTGCCAAGGCCAACCAGTAACTTTTTTATAGTCCCTGAGCTTTATGGTCAGGGGAAAAAAACTTTTGAAAACATTTGCATGTTTGCAAAATAAATCAGTTGGTAAATTCTCGATGTACCGGTATATGTCATTTCCAGGAATAAGGTCAAAGGTTGCCGCAGAAATGACATGAACTTTTAACTTCTGAGAAAGGAGAGATCCTCAGAATTCTTAAAACCACATTAACCTTTGGAAAAAAAAATTTTTTTCCCTTTTTTTTTCTGTGTCTTATCAATCTGTACATCATTAGTCGACAGATACATCTTATTGCCCATTTGCCTTTTTGTTTGCTTATACATGTACATTTAATTTGTTCCCAGCAGAATCAACTTTTTCAACTGGTTTAGAGGAGGGAGCAAGAAATGAAGCAAGACATGATGAAATCCAAGATTTAAACGAAGAGCCCCTCATTGAACCTGTGGATGTTGAGGAAGGACATACCTTGCCTCAAGACATTGGTGCTCTTCCAGGCTTCGAGAATATTGTCATGAAGTTGCTTGAGAAAGATAACTTTATAGGTATCTCTAGTAACCAGATCAGTACTAACTTGTTTAAGCATATCAAGGCGCTTACAAAATTGGAAAAAAAGTTTGGGGCTGACTTAGGCAAAGCAGGTCTATTTGGAATGATTAACGGTTGTGAAAAACTCGTAGAGGTGTCTTGTGATAAGGGAAATTTGACCCGTGGAATTGAAATGGGCCTTCTCTGTGATGACAATTCTACATGTACAGATAAGGTAACCTTTACCAACAAAATATTTCAGGAGTTTTGTGCTGGTATGCAATTGGCTCTAAATGCTGAAGGATACCAGTATATGCAGAAAATCAATGTGGACAACTGGGAAAAGCTGGCTAATGTGTTGGTCTTTGCTACCAACTATTTTTCAAATGACGACAATGATGGGGTTTCATTTATATGTCATATCCTGAGTCGTTTGACAGCTATCATCAAACAGACAATTACAGATAATAGAGGTGGTCAGAAGGCTCAGATTCAGGCGCAGAGGTTGGCCGAGTTGTGTCTCAAAGTGGTTTTTAATCGCAAATGGAATAAGCAGTTAGACAAAAAAATACATTTGCTCTTTCATGAAGGACAGCTGTGTTTTTTGGGGATATCTAGTCACAGCCTCAGACTGTTGACAGACTTACTAGAACACACATCAAATAACGCATACAAACAAAATCTGAGGTCAGTGAAGTTGTTTTGTATTGATGAGAAACTGAGCTGTGCTGAGTTCACACAATATAATGTAGAGTACTTTGTACATCCTGAGCCCCTTCACAACAGAGGGATTGAGGAGGGGGCTACAGAAGAAGCTGCCATTGTGCACCAGCAGAAAGAGTCACAAGAGAGTCCAAAAGACAGAAATGTGCTCCATGCCTTGCAGTCATTGGGTTTACAGGACCTCATAGACACACAGTCTGGCGATGAGTGCCACTCGTCAGATGTTGCAGACGAGTTTGCCTTCCACCTTCCTAAACAGAAAAATCTTGAAAAGATTGTTCTCTTGGGACCAATTCTTGGTTCCCAACAACTGTCTGTCCTTATCTCTAACCTTGACAGGCTCAAACACTTGCAGCAGTTGGACCTTCGGCTTAATACCCAAACTGATGACAGCGCATTCAAGAAGATAATGACATGGCTTTCTGGTTGCAAAGAGCTGATCGACCTAAGGCTGTCTCTTTATAAAGTGACTTCTGAGGGGTTTAAAAAGGTGACGGATGAGATGGAAAAGGATGCCACCGTGCTGAGGAGATTGCAAACGCTGTATCTATTGCATGGCCGTCTTAGTCAGTCTTTCGGCAAGTTCCTTACAGACACCATTAAATACACGGACAATCTTCAGTGTTTTCATACATCTGCCTTGGATGAATCTGGACAAGAACCAGGCATAATAGACAGCATTGTTGAAGAAATCCGAGGTGGAAAGCCAAAACTTAAAGAGCTTGTTGTGGACAACAAACATGTTTGAGGGCACAACTTGGTGAGCATCGGTTGTCAGAAGGGGCTACCACATCTACCACATCGAGCAAAAACTCTCATGTTGTAGAAATGGAAATACAGGAGTTGTACCGTAGCTAATTACTTGGGTTTCATAGTGTGACAGTGTTATCGGTCATGTTTGCTTTGGACGCTTCAGGTACCGGTAGCCATTAATCCTCTGTCACCTGGCCAACCACTTCTTGAAGCAGTATTTATGTCAAACTGTAAACACCGAGAGGTACAGAATGTAATACCTACATGTACATATGTAGCAAAAGCCGAGAGCCACAAACAACTGCCTGTACGTTGGTGAAGGTCCTATTTGTATTCCTGGTATTGTTAATTTGATTACACGTAGGTCGTGTGTCAAGGAGAGAAGGTGTGTTTTATTTGCCTTTTGGTAATTCCTCATTATTTGCAACTTGGATACTAATGGTGTCTCCTGATTATACACTACCGTAGTTGTGAACCATATTGTCTTCAATCATTCTTATTTCAATGTGATTACGGACTCTGTGCATCAACAGGTGTTGTGTTTCCATTCGTGAGAGCTCCATTCGCAGGACACATTGCTTGCACGTTCTGGTTCTCGCATATAGGCCTACAATGTATGTTGCGTATGGTGTGACGTACATGTACCGTACGCACGACTCTTGCTCATCTCAATGTGCACAAACCTGTGTATTTCCCAATCTTGTTCCCATGGATACCATCGTGCCATGCCATGTCGTTTCCCACCATGTCTTGCCCCACCATGTCTTGCGAATTGGTAAAAGAACCCACAGGCTGATAGACATGAGGATAGTAATGTCTTGGGGGCAGATGCAAAGCCTTGTCTCCTTGTAACAGTGGAAAAGGTTGAGGGCCAAGGAGTACTTATGCAAAGCGAGGGAGGCTGATGAATTTTGAATACAACCTCATAAGCTATGCATAATTTTGAACAAGTGAAAAAATAGAAACTCCTCTTTTTTACGCGGACTTTTTACTTAAAAATAGTTTTTTTCAGCAGCTGTTTTCTGTCCTTTAATGTTATTTCAAAAATAACAATTTCCGTACAACGCATATAATGTTATCACTGGGTGACCTTCAAGTTCTAAATGTCACGTTGCGTGCCTCTCTTTCAGAGAATTAAGAAAAGTGCACTTGATGTAGTTCAGTGTATTTTCATGAATTAAAACATAAAATTGATTTGTATATCTAATTGGACATTATAACGTTTCCAAACCTTTGAAAACAATGAAGCTTAACTGGCTTTATAGAAAAGTAATTTGTTGTATAATGAGGACACGACCTGTTTGTATAAATTTTGAAAAAAACCTCATAAGTAATGTATATTTTTGAACAAGTGAACAAAATAGAAACTTCTCTGGTTTACGCTGGACTTTCTACTTAAAAATAAGTTTATTAGCAGCTGTTTTCCTTCTTTAATGTTCTTTCAAAAATAACAATTTCCGTACAACGTATATAATGTTATCACTGGGTGACCTTCAAATGTCACGTTGCGTGCCTCTCTTCCAGAGAATTAAGAAAAGTGCACTTGATGTAGTTTAGTGTATTTTCATGAATTAAAACATAAAATTGATTTGTGCATAAGTTGACTTAATTGCAAGATGTTTATGGATATTATTAAGCATGCATTCATTTCTATAGTTTTTTTAGACTTGTATTCGCTATTCATTCAAACTGTAGTGTAGGGTCTGGATTTGTTACGACAATCTACTACATGTAAGATGTTTATGGAAATTATTAAGCAAGTATTCAGTTATGAGGTTTGTATTCCTGATAATTAACAATGTAATGCATTATAGGTCTGTTATTTTAGCAAGTAGGAGCTGTCCGTGCATAGACATGATAGATGCGATTGTCATTTCTCTGCAAGCATTGACTGACTTTGTGTATCTCTTTGTAGGTTGGGCCATTGGATGTTGCTTGATTTAATACATTGCATTTATATTCAAGTCATGTACATGTTTTCCTGTAGACCTTTGCACATTGCGCCCTCACTGAGGACAGGCTTTGCCATTTAAAATCGGTGTCTATGAAAGTACAATGCGCCTACTCATGCGTATCACTGAGGAACAAAGACATGCCCTCAGATGAGACGTCAGACATGTACAAATTACTGGATTTCAAAAAGTAAATTGGATTGTACATGGTATACAGGTACGTATCAGAAAATATAATCTGTGCCTTAAAGAGAAGATGAAAGGCTAAAAAAAAACCATGCAATACTTGTTTTTTCCTAAATTGATGAAGTAATTTATACATCAAAGAGAATTATATTTTGTAATATATATTTCATCAAAATGATATATATATTTAATTATAAAAAGAAATATTGATGAGATTAAATTATTGTCAAAATGTATTGCCTGAAATGAATATTTTGTACATACAATGTAATGTATAGTTCCAGTGTGTCCTTAGTATCGCATTTTTGAATACATGTAAACAAAATAAGCCTTATCGGAGTTCAAACTGCGCATTCGTAACCCGTGACAACGCGCATTGTTTGTCTCAAATGGCCTTTGACATCATCGCGCCACTGACTTTACAAAAAGGCTGTTTGTGCATTGTGGGTACTGTCACAGGGCATTTGAGACAAACAATGTGCGTTGTCACAGGTTAAGAATGCGCGCAGTTGGAACTCCGAAAAGGCTTATTGTTCCTGACTTCCTGTGAAGTACTTGATTAGTGATCAAAGTATGAACAAATGATGTGGAGATTTATGTAAAACATGACGTTCACATGGGCGACGCCAGGATTTTTTCCGGGGGGGGGGGCAAAGCAAAATTTTTCCCAACTTTTTTTTACTTTTTCATTATATTCTCAGTTTATCATTTTTCCGAGCGTGAGCAGGGGAGCATTTGCCCTACCCCCCCCCCCCCTCAAATTAACAGCAATATGGCTTTGCACCTCATTTTCCCTTTTTTTTCTCGTTTTCCAGGGGAAGGGGGGAGCGCCCCTTGCCCCCCCCCCCTTGCGACGCCCATGGACGTTCATGTTCACATTGACCAAAGATAAAACTTTCTGTAAATCTAATTGGACATTATAACGTTTCCAAACCTTTGAAAACAATGAAGCTTAACTGGCTTTATAGAAAAGTAATTTGTTGTATAATGAGGCCACGACCTGTTTGTATAAATTTTGAAAAAACCTCATACGTTATGTATATTTTTGAACAAGTGAACAAAATAGACACTTCTCTGGTTTACGCTGGACTTTCTACTTAAAAAATAGGTTTATTAGCAGCTGTTTTCCTTTCCATTAATGTTCTTTCAAAAATAACAATTTCCGTACAACGCATATAATGTTATCACTGGGTGACCTTCAAGTTCTAAATGTCACGTTGCGTGCCTTTCTTCCAGAGAATTAAGAAAAGTGCACTTAAGTAGTTAAGTGTATTTTCATGAATTAAAACATAAAATTGATTTGTGCATAAGTTGACTTAATTGCAAGATGTTTATGGATATTATTAAGCATGCATTCATTTCTATAGTTTTTTAGACTTGTATTCACTATTCATTCAACTGTAATGAAGGGTCTGGATTTTTTACGACAATCTACTACATGTAAGATCTTTATGGAAATTATTAAGCAAATATTCAGTTATGAGGCTTGTATTCCTGATAATTACAATGTAATGCATTATAGGTCTGTAATTTTAGCAAGTAGGAGCTGTCCGTGCATAGACATGATAGATGCGGTTGTCATTTCTCTGCAAGCATTGACTGACTTTGTGTATCTCTTTGTAGGTTGGGCCATTGGATGTTGCTTGATTTAATACATTGCATTTATATTCAAGTAATGTACATGTTTTGCTGTAGACCTTTGCACATTGCGCCCGCACTGAGGACAGGCTTTGCCATTGACAATCGGTGAATAGTGAAAGTACAATGCGCCTACTCATGCGTATCATTGAGGAACAAAGACATGCCCTCAGATGAGACGTCAGACATGTACGTATTGTATAGATTCAAAATTGAGTAAATTGGGTTGTGCATGTATTGTAAATATATCAGGAAAAACTGTCAGTGCCTTAAAGAGATAGGATAATACATGAATAGGCTTAAAAATGCAACCCCTGGGTTTTTTTTGTCCTGAAGTTTTGTTATCACGAAAAGAGTAATACATTTGTCAATAAATAGTTAATGACAATTTTATTTTTGTAATTATCAGAAGAGTATCAAATTGAATTATAAGATTAAATATTGTCAGATTTTATTGCCTGAAATTGTCAGATGTGTTCATACTTGCGCATTTTTAAATAGAATTATGTTGTACTTAACTTCACTTGCCTAGTGGACATATGATGTGGAGATGTAGTATAGTGTGTACTTTTGCATTGACCAAAGATAATTGAAATGTGTATTTCTAATTGGGCGTTCTGACATTCCTAAACTTTTCAAAAGAATAATCAGCTAAACTGACTGTAGAACTGTGTTTTTTTGTATAATGCCATATGAACCTGTGAATACAGCCTCAAATAAGCTGTGCGTATTTTTGAACTATTGAACAAAAATACCACTGTAAATTTTTACGCGGAATTTCCACTTGTTAAAAACTGCTATTTCATAAATAATCCTTCTTGAATAGCGTATACATTGTATGTCTCTCACATTGCGTGCCTCTCAGAGATAGAGTGGACTTGAAGCTATTCATTAAAAAAATGTCAATACTTTCAAATTCATTATAAAATGTTTTTCAATGGTATGACAAAATTGTTAAGAGAACTTTTTTTACAAGGTGTAGTTTCTGTATCAACTGCAATATTTCATGTCGAATTCCCTTATAGTTCTGTCGGATTAAAGTAATCTTGTTTTGAAAAAGAAAGTTAATATCAAGTGTTGGTGTCATGTGCGAGTGATATGAGGTGTATCCGTTGCATGTCGCCGCTCTTCGCTCGTCTCCATGTACATGTCCAATCGCACGTGCGTTATAGACTGATGCCTATCTCACATGGAATTTGGACTCCTATGAAATCTGGTGCCTTGATGAACTGTAATGGTTCTGACTCTCACGTGACTTATCCCTGTTCTTATTTCCTGTACTGAGGCATGCATGATACAACCATCGCGTCCGTATTTTATAAAGTCCCAATTGTACACTACACCGATTCAAGACAAGTAGCAAGTCAGCGCGCTATTATGGTTCAATAATGCAAGATTATATAGAGCCCCCTGAAATATTTGGAATCTTACTTGACAAAGTAACGACTGCGCTATTTTTAAGTTCCAACCCAAAATTGACCGTTGTCTTTCTAGTTCAAGTTTAGTCACTTTTGATTCATGAAAACAAATGCAAACCCCCCCCCCCCCGATCGTGACAACTAAAATGTTTTTACTGTTAAAATTCCGATGAAAACCCCACCCTGCAAAAATTCCTGCCAGGAATTTACTGGATCCGCCCCGGTTCTGATGATTAGTGATGATTATGCCCCATATTGTCTACCCGCAATTTTATTATCCAAGGCTTTACCGTGTAAAGCTTTTTGGTATGATTCTTCGCTAAAAATTATATTTTTGTTATGCACGGACTTACATATGTCTATTATGCGCGAACAGATTTGCTGATTAATTAGGCAAGACTCCGCCTCTTAACTTCCTAGATTTTAACCAATCAGCGGGTACTTTTCATAGGCCTATCGGGTCTTCGGTCATTCACCCGTTGCGCGTCATATAGACATGGACAACAAAAAGCAGTCCCGTCGCGCGGCTCGGTATCTTGTTACGCGAATGCGCTCCCGGCTGTTGTTGTATTACAAAACACTGCATTCGAATTGACCAATCACAGCGTTAGTCCTGATTTGGGAATGAAATTGACGTCACGATTTAGTAAAGTCGACTCCGATTGGCTGGCGCGCGGCTTGTATAAATCTGCATGCTTTGACATATCAGACGTTAGACAGGAGATGCCTCCGTCGATATAGCCTTGACCAAGGCTATCAGCTTGTTCCCATACGAGCTTGTTCCCGCTACCGCACACAGCGCGCGCCGCAACACTAAATTACTATACCGTTAGCTTCAACGACCCTTGTGTGCATGTACGCACACCCCACACACACTTCCGAAAACAGCCGTACAGTAAGTCGAGGCGGAGGATAGCCTTGACGCAACCGTGGCGAATTCCTTATGTGTTTCTTTATATTTTCGGCCAAACTCGGCCGAGAATTTCTAATGCGCATATATTACACGATATCCAATCAAAGCCCGTAAACTTTGACCCGCGACATACATATTCATGAAGCCCGCAACCGTAAACACACGTATGTTCACTCAAAAACAAATGTCCAGGTATGTCAAATCCATTTTAAACCATTTCTCCATTATTAGGCCTATTCCCAAAACAAATGAAATATGCCGCTATGTGAATGAACACTTTATCAAAATGATGATATTATTTCCAACGTATTGCGAATTGGACAGGTCAATTAGACGTACCGCCGACGTTTATTGTCGGTGCAACAGCGTACATTATCACGCCGCTCTACCCGTACCTGCCCGTGACATTCTGACAGCGAATAATCGATTCGAATGTAGGGAACAGGTCAGCTCGGACCCAGGTCAAATCGTACACATTTTATCGAATGCAGG